ATATTGCATCCGTCGGCTTCCGCGGAGACTCCTCGACCAGCTTCTGAATCAAATTCTCAACTCAGCCATTGCAACAAACCGGTCTTACACCCCAGGTCCAATATATTTCGGTATTATGTCGGGAAATTGTAACTTCTTAAATCTCACAGCTGGATGGAGGCCCGTTCTTGGGGTCATAGAAAGTTTAGCGTATTACGTTCCTCTGTTGGCACGGTGGCATTGCTCCCCTAAATGTTCCCTACGTAAGTCTCTGTTGGCGTTTTTCCAACCATGTAGTCTATGAAACGTACCGCACAGGTGCCCCAAGAGTAGTGTGCCGAGATTGCATGGAAATACAATATACATCAAATTAAGAAACTAAAACGGGTAAAAGTTATTAGTAAAGCCGTATAAATATTGTTACAAGGTGTACGAAGTTTCATAGTCCAATTTGAGTTGAACTGACTGTTCAACAGGTCCAGGTCCTCGCTAAGCAGGTCTCAATTTTGAGTGTTGTGCCAAATGTTTGAAAATTATTCCAATTTGTGACTTTTTTTTTTTTTTTTTTTGCCAGAAGTTCTAGGACAATGGCTGCTGAATGGCCAAGAGAATGATATAAGGTTGGCTGGTTAATCAGTTTAAACTATTGTTAGAAATGTTTTATACTGATCAGATGAATACATCAAAGAGTTTGCGGAAAATTGTAGAAATTCGCCACTTTCACATTGCCCTTCCCACCTTGGTTACCTCGAGAAATTCAGCATAAGAATTGTTAAATTTTAATTTTCCACTGGCTATTACAGTCTTCCCAAGAGAAAGCGAAATAAGTGCTTCTCATAATTTTTCTTTTCTTTTCTTCTTTTTTTTTTTCGTCGGGGAGAGGTCGGTTAAACAAGGTAAATCACCGAAGCAATGCGAAAATGGTGAATTGCTGATCATGAGCGAGTGGTTACGAGAGTAATTTTGGTGGTTTAATACTCTACAGGAATTTTTTTTTTTTTTGGAAGGTTTGATTCACCTCACAAAGCCGAAAAGGCCACATCGACTATTCTCTGCGCATCGTAAACAATTACGCCTTTTTTTAAAAGCGTAAACAGAATGTAAAGTCTTTTGTCCACACATGTGGCTTAGCATAAAGTGACAGGATCTTACACTCCATGCATGCTAATACTCTGGAATGCAGGATACGAAAGTGATGGTGGTTTAGGTCTCGAATCCATTGTAAGAGCAACTTTGATGCGAGCCGAGGAGGAGCGGTGATGTTCTGTCGTCTTCAACATCCTTCTACAATTCCTGTTGTCATCTTGCGGAACTACCACCTCTAAGATGAAATGGAAATCTAAAAATAGTAAAAAAAGGCGCGGAGCGTCACACAGCATGAAGATATCTCATCTCAATAAGATCCACTTCTCCCTCGATCCATTGAAAGAGCGGTCGGTCGAATATCACCACGTCACTGATCTTGTCGCAGAACAACGCGCTTTTTGGCAAAAAAAAAAAAATCGCCATAGGGATTGAGGTTGGCCTCTTCCACAATTCTCTTCGCAAACGGGTGTCAGTAAAACGCAGGGCCGGGGTCGGGGTCTATCTGTTTTTTAGAGAATGCTGTTTTAGGGTTAGGGTTATTTAGGGTTAGGGTTAGGTTTAGGTTTAGGGTTAGGGTTAGAGTTAGGGTTAGTGTCAACCCTAACCCTAACCCTAACCCTAACCCTAAAACAGCATTCTTTAAAAAAAGATAGACCCCAATCCCTCGTTTTACTGGCACCCTTCGCAAACCGAGTCATGGATTTTTCTCTGTCCGTTCATTAGAATCTTGGAACCGCTGCACGTACACATTGTGCATGTGGCTTCCATTTCTAGTTGGTCAAGCCACAGGGCTGTCGCTAACATCATGATTTTAAGTTGCCGAGTATACGCGACTAACATGAGGGGAATTGTACGGCAGGGAAGTTCTTTTTGTTTTATTGTCCTTTTTTCCTATTAGAGTAGCGGGGGCTCAGGCTCATGGTAGCCGGGGAAAATCGCCGACCCCCGACTCTTGGTGACAGCCCCGCGGTCAAGTGTGTTCTCACGTGTGGTGTAAACCATACTTGGCGAGGAACTTCCGCTTCTTTTAACTACGAACGTTTCGTGGTCGCCAAGTAAAGTTGAGGTAGTTACATTTTACCTCTTCACACTCAAAATAGGTTCCAAGTACACTTGAATTACACTAGAGAGTTAGTGTGAAGCCAATGGTGCGCAGTGGTGCACATTACTAATAATTAATTTGGAAAAAATTAGCATAACGTCAAAACAGTGAATGTTGTAACACGGATTTTTGGTCGGACCGTAGGCTAGGTTCGCCTGAAGATTTCAAGGTGTTGTGGTCAATCAATCTTCATGAAAGTTTTAAACATTATTATATACATCGTCAAGATTACGTGATAAGGTTTAAAAAGAATTCTGTCGAGTCGATCTAGATGTAGAGAAAATCGCTAAAAGTCTAACTTTAGAATAACGCTGCACTTCGACTGGTGTTGAGAAAAAAGGCTAGTTTTCAGGATCGGAAGAAAAGAATATACCAGAATTTCCAAGCAGCGAAATATGATATAAAGCAGCATTCTGACGCTACTTAAGATTGATTTTAAATATTAAAAACTTTTTTTTATCAATTGGAAACAATTTCGACTAAGGTTTATAAGCTTATAAGGTTTGTGATATATATTTACGTTTTATTTGAATTCAGATACACATAATTTTTAAATTCTCTTATTGCCACTCTTTAAGTTCCTGGTGATGGCTTTTCAGTAGGTCTAGATCGCGCAAAATTCTGGTTTAATCTATTAAACTTAATTTAATCGATTATTAAGTTGTTTTGTTTATTGTTGTCATAGTGATATCGATTTACTTAAAACGGTATTTTGACTAACTTCAATCAAAAGTCAGTCAGTGGTGAAAATTTTATAGCGATCAGACAAGGATAAAATCAAATTTTTAGGAGATTGAAAATCTTGGTATTAAGAATGATCAATGCAAAATCGATAGTCATAGGCTTGTCATACTGGGTGCCCTTAAGTAAAATTCTACCTGTGATGAATGAGCTGCCTTTAAAACGCCTCTTTTCTCGAATGACTGGAAACAAGCCTAGGGTTCGAGCATTAAGAGAAAGGGCACCTTGGGTGTGCCTCGAATAATCGACTCCCATGTCCCTGTTGCCTGTGTGTTTAAGCAGGAGTTTGATAGCGTCCACTATCGGAAACGATTCGTGAAATTTCCGAATCTCAGTTTCTCTAATTTGACCTCATTCTGGTTGCAAAGTTATCTTTCTAACAGAACACAAACATCTTTCCATCAGCTTGTACTACGGGTACCGTTTGAACCTGTGGAAAAATCCCTTAGGCAGATGGACCCCCAACTGTTTTACAAGTTTAACACACCAACACTTTACCTACCACCTACCTTTCAAAGGGTGCCTTGCCTCTAAACCAAAGAAAGGGCTGGGAAAAGCTTCTAAATCAATATGGGACTCGTGAAATCAACCTATATATATATATACCTATAACTTGTGATGGGTTGTGATGCTAATCTAGACTTAGAGATCCTGAATCGATGAATTTCGAACTGACCAATACTCCAGAGCTACAAGAACCTATCAGTGCATCAAACACGAAGTGTCTTCCAAACTGATCCTGTGTTGCGGGATTATGTGAAGATTCTTTCAGTGATAAACCTGGTTAAGTGCTTTTGGAAGTTGATCTCTTGGTTTCTCCAGTAGTACATACTCCCAGAAAAATCTCCATGCTCTTCTTGAACCAGCATAGGAGAAGCTCACAGAGATGGAAGAAGATGAGATTATTTTCAAAGAAGGGGAACACCCCCTTGAGTTTCATGTAAGAGTGAATGACAAATTAAAAGTGGAAGAAAAGAGCACTCCACCCTTATAGAGTGATGTCTGAAGTTGTATAGACCAAAGGACCTAAACAAAGCTTTTAGGAGACCACAGTATCCAATGGTTACTTTAGAGGATGTTGCCAAAAGATGTCAGATTCATGTTCAATTTTCATTTTCTTGAATGCATGCAGTGGGTACTGAGAGATCCCATTTGATGATAAAAAGCTCTATAAACTCCCAATACTGAACTCACCCTGGTATCTCTGCTGCTCCTGAAATCTACTAGTGGGTGATGGACAAACTCTTTGAAGGGGTTCCTGTGCAGATTATAGTCATGCTGCCGAAGTTGAGACGAGTACTGGATAGAAGCAAGGAAGTAGGATTGAAGAGCAACAAAAAGAAAGTGAAGCTTTGAGTTCCTGAAGTAAGCTATGTTGGACGTGTTTTCAGCCGATGGCTTGAAACCCGAATCTGGTACTGAGTTGGACCAATCAATGAGAAGCCGCCTACTGACAAAGAAGGAGTGGTTCCAAATAGGAACTGTCAATTAACTAGACACGTTCATTGAATACAAGGCCATCTACAAGAACCGACTTCACAACTTACTCAGTAAGCTGTAGCATTCGTGTGGATGAAGATCCTTTTGGAGTTTTTCTGTATCCTCTGTTTTTTTGTAGAAAAAAATAGAACCTTTGTATCTTTAGTGATTTTGTTACAATTTGCTAATACTGAGTCCTGGTACTCATCCTATCATGACTCCTAATCCAGAATAAATTAATCCCAGTTCAAAACCCATAAGTCCTAATTATATTTAAAAGAAGCCAGGGCACAGGAAATTATCCGCAATACTGGTAATAGTCGGACACTCCGCAGGACTCTGTCAAGTCTTTCTTGAAACACGTCACATGTAACCTGTCACGGTTAACCCAAAAGGTAGGCGTAGCCAAGGATTGTACCTGCCCCATGGTGTAATAAAGGTCGTCATCAAACTACTCTCCTTGTCCAGGAAAAGGTGCCAATAGCCGACTTGGCGTCGAGTAGGCTGAAGTACTTTGAGTTTGCCAGCTCAGGTAGGACATCATCAATTGTTCTTTTGTACCACTGGTTGTGCTTAATGGCTTTATTTAGACCTTTATGATCAAGGCATAACCTCAGAAACCATCAGGTTTCTTCACAGAGACAATTGAATTGATCGATTCAGTGTACTCTTGGACTTCTTTAATTACTTCAAGTTCTACTGGTCTCTTCAACTCTGCGTTGTAGGCTGGTTTAAGGCTCACTGCTACCTGACGAGGGGGATGCTGACAGGTTTGTAATCTTCCTTCAACTGAATATTATATTATCAGATAAGGTTATGTTCTTGTCTGTACATTCTTGTACCACTGGAATAACTGGTTCTGCAGGGGGTTTCGCTGGCTTGTCAGTAATGGTTTTTATGGACGTATCCATTTGGCCTTGACCGCTGGCTGCTGGATCTCCGGGAAGCTAACATTCACCATTAGCAATGCTTGGTGCCTGCCCAGGATCATGTAATCTTTGCTGTCTGCCACACATGAAACGTTGTTTATTTTTGCTTGCCATAATGAAGGTACACACAACAAGATCCAAGACTCTCAACGGAAATGTCATTGTTAATGTACCCTTTCAGATTCATTGTCGGTTGTCCCAGCTTGAGGTCCGTTCCAAAAATAGATTTTTCTTTGTACTGGGGTAGAATGTTGCAGCTTGCATTTGCATCGACTCTACAGGAGATCTGGAAACCTGTGATGAGATCGAGCTCCTTACTAACCCAAAGAGGGCGAATTTGAGGCTGTGAGTGAGAGTGATTAAGAGTCTTTGCCATTACCGTCTTCAAATAATGCACGGCTGCAGAGAAATACACTTGCGTATAGTCTTCCGCTAAGCTGTCTTCGTTTGAGGTCGCATCGATAGGCTGGGTTTGTAACTCGTTAACATTCCCTCCTCTTTTGGACTTACAAACAGATCTAGAGCCATAATGTCCTTCTTTTCCACACTTTTTAAAAACACTTTGCGTTGCAGGCCATTGACTTCTTGGATGTACAGGCCTTGCTCCACAACTGAAACAGGTTTCTCTCTTGGTGCTTTTTTGATTGTGTGATCCACCTCTTTCCTTCTGCTCTTTCTTTTTTTTTTTTATGCCTGGCTTCTTGCTTTTCATAGAGTTGATGGATTGCTGCTTGGGTCAGATTGCCTTTGAACTCTGGTCTCATAACTAACCTGACTAGCCGTGGCGTCTACGTTACGTTTTTAGCAATCGTTATTGCCTCCTCCAAAGTCAAAGCTGAGCCTTTCCCAATGCATTTAAAGTAAGCCATTTCTTCCCATTCACTTTGCCAAGTAGTTTCATAATTAATTTCTGAATATGTTTTTTGAAGAATTAAAATTTTGCCCCCTGATCTTTTAGATAGTAACATATTCTCACTACCTACAATACACATGAATATACAATGAGACATGAAGGGGTGAAAGTGGTCCGTAAATCCACCTGCTTGACTGGTAAATAGTTTCTGCCCAATAGGGTATGGTTTTAAGGGTCTCGAACCTTAAATAAGGTATTGTTTTTGGCCTATTTGGCATTGTGTTCCTCGAGTGATTCTTAGAGTGGTTACGCAAATCAGCCAAAATCAGATGTGTCATGTCGTGACCTGTGATGTTTAGGTATCCAATAAAATGCCGATACATTTCTCTCCTTCTGTTGCATTTTGATGTGGAAATTTGAGTGTATAATATATTTATCGTTTTAAATAAAGTTAAAATCCGTTAGTTATCTATATATGTCTTAAATTTTCTTACAATTTATACCATCTTGCACTTTTCTTTTCCAGTTTCAAGGGATCGTTGTCCTTTATTGACGGTTGGTGTCCGGGCGTCCAAGCTCCCGTTTTCAACCAAACAAATCCTTTTGCTACCGCCCCGATCATGAACCTAAGCGATAGTAGTTTTACAATTTCCTGCTGGATAAAACAAACTACATGGATTATTAATACGTTCGGAGCTATCTATGGTGACTGGAACACTCCGCGCCAATTTTTGCTTGGTACAATGAACCAGAGGATCGTGTTTTATCGCCATAGCTATAGTAATGTCAGTGAAGAGTGGTGGTCGTTGCAAAGTACTAACGTGTCTTTAAGTAACTGGACACACCTGGCGGTTACGTGGAATCACCTCACTGGAGCTGTGTTGATATATATCAACGGAAAAATAGTGGGTACCAAATCATATCCCCCTGAAAAAAAGTTCTACGGACCTTCGGGGAAGCCATACACCATTGGCAACGCTGGGCATGAAGACGCCTACCAGTTCAATGGCTCAGTAGTGCTTCTAAGTGTCTTGAACTGGGCATTGTCAATTGATGACGTTGATGATCTAAGAGGTTTGAGATTCATAACTTTATAAATCATCCTAAAGTACTTTTGCCCTTCAGTTTACTTAATATTCACTATATTGGATGCAAACACCGTCACGGCCGCGGCCAGACAAAGTGTAGTGGAACCTCGCATTACGGACATCCGATTAATACGGACCGTTTAAGTTTCATTTGTTCCGACGAAAAGCTCATATATTTTCGCTAATTCTCTAAAATTAACCCGCTCAATGTGGACATTGGTTAATTAAACAAAGTTTTCTCTTGAGAATGACTGCTTTCCTCTTCATTTCGATAAATCATGCGTCCATGAGGTTTTTTGAGTGCCCGCTTGATACGGGCACCCGGTTAATAAATGTCCCCTTGGTGTTCGTATTAGTCAGGTTCCACCGTATGACTTTCCGTAACCTAAATCACATACATAAACTAGCAGTAGCTAACATCAAAGCTACCCCGCCCTGTATGACTTTTGTAGGTCAAACGTATTCTTGGTCGTTGGGTGGCTCTTTGAAATATACCGATTCATAATTAAAGATTTTAATACATATTCCATATAATATATGCGATAAAAACAGGAAACGCAAGGTTCCATGCATTGATTCTGGACTGATTCAGGCCGATTTACACAGCTTTGATCACTCAGTTTCGAAAATATCTTATTCTAAACCATGAGAAAAAAAACCATAAGAAGTGGCAATTTTTCGCCCTTTCTTTTTCCCTTTTTACATACAGTTAATTTGATTGTCCGGAAAGTTAAAGCCTTAGTAATCAAAAAGTTTGATCAGTTCACCCTCGCATATTCTAGTAATGTTTTTAACTATCAAGACAACACTTCAGAAAATCTTTATAGAAGGACATCTGTGAGCGGGGAGTACGACAGCACAGAATTTAATTGTTGGAGAATTTCTGTAATCGTCCATCGTTCTGCAAATGATAAACTAGCCGTTTATTCACTCGTCTTGCTTGTTTGTGGACTGAGTCTTATTCCCCCTGGCAAATTTTTTTCCAATCAAAGATTTGTGAACACGTGTCTGGCAAACTCTCGAAGCGTTTGTATATATACAGTTATACGCACCTTATAACTTCATCTGCGCTTATCGACAGTCTTTTGGTCCATAACTTTCAAAGCAGCTGCTCCACAGAATGTCACTGATAACACGTAACGCAAAAAGTATCGAAGTATGACTGTACAGTAAGTGTCAGAAAATCAACTTAAGCGGTCCCTTCGGGCATTTTCCGTCTTACGTTATCCTAACCAATAGCATCTCTTACTTGCGGGCGTGAACAATAGAAATGTCATCATTACCCAACGATTCCATGCGGCCCCTGATTAAGAGATCGAGATTTTTTCTGGCATACTGACTGTATATTTCAACTTTAAGAACTGTTCTATATATACGAGCGAGCTACTAGGATGCCTCAGGATTTCGCTTTCCAGACGAAATCCTTGCTTGGGAAAAAACATTGAGATATGACAGTAAAGTACCAGCGGTGGCAATTAATTTGTACTCTTAGTTATAAATAGCTGAGTATCAACTAGTCAGACCCAAAGCATCCTTAATGGTCTCCACAACTTCTTAGTTATAGAGCCCCTTAATCTGGGAAAAGGTAAATTCTAGTGCTTATTTCGGTAGCTAATCATTCAATACTAAAAAAACAATTTTTTTTTTCTTCCGCTTAACGTCTGCATTCGTTTTCACTTGACACAATACTCCTATACTGTATATGCTTGCGCTTGTCCTTCCGTTGGTCTTGAAAAACCAGGTTTGAAGTAAGAAAGCGACAAGATTGATACAACGGAGAAAACTTTACCCTGTACGGTATCTTCAATATTCAAGTGAATAGGAGCCACATGATACCTACAGAGCATGCAGGTTCAAAATTGAATGCTACCAAGCAAAAATGACTGGAAATATTCCCTTGTCTTTCTGCCTTCTTTTAACGTCCCGTAAAGGGAAAACTGAAAGGATTTATAATAAAACAATTTGGTAAAGTGGTTACGCTTTGATGTAACCCAGGGCATTGATGATGCTTTTAGTTAATTTTATCACAAATCCGGCTTTACAGGGAAGGGTGCTTCCGGGCAGCAGCTTCGAGCCACAGTGTAATTTTCGGAGGTTAAATTAGAGAGAAAAATTTTATCCATCTGAAAATGTATCGAACCTTTAGTAGCTTTGCAAATACTGTCTCTAATTAATAATTACTTAATGACTATCGTAACATTTACTGAAATTCTTTTGTCATCAAATCCTGTGAAGGTCTTTATCGGATCATCAAAAAAAACGTACTAGCAGGAGGATCCGTTCTGGTTAAATGGAATCCAATCTTGAGGAAGGCTTGCCCATTTGTTCACGTTTACTACAGAGAACAAGGAGAAAGCAAATGGAACTCTGTGTCTGTGACATTACAACAAAGGGCATTGTTTTACAGCCACACTCTTTACTTAGAATGCTTGAGAAAATATCAAATAGTAGTTTCCTCGTACGCTGCTTTTGAGGAGAGGGACTTGAGGGACAAACAGATGTGGACTGTGAGCACAGGAGAAGGTAGCTAACGCAGAGCTTGTGATATTACCTAAAGAGAAAAAATAGTGACTCTCACTCTATTAGCCTCTATTTTAATCCTCGGAATTCAGAGTTCTAAGCTATGTCATTCCAACTAACTCTCACTAAATTTATTTAACCGAAATATGTCTGTGGAATTAATGAAAAGCTACTAAAGAAAAGTGATTTCTGGGTAATAGCTTGAGGAAAAACCTAACGGGGCGGAGAATCTGAGTCATTTGTGTGTAAAGTGTCTTAAAAGCCGGAGAGAGCCTTGAGTGAAATGTTTAAAGGAGAATGAGATGGGTTAAATAGACACCCAGCAGTAATAGTACCATGTGATATTCTTTTCCACATTTAAAATTGACAATTTTTCCCTCTAAAATAGAATAATATTCCGAAATATTTGTTTATCTCAGATGGAATGTGCTGCGATGAGGAAGAATGGGAAGTGAACCTTACTCGGCAAGGATGGATACTGAATTGCTCACGGACAGGAAGATACTTGTTTGGAATTTTACGGAAGTCCAAAGGCCCAAAAGGTGGCATTGACCTCTTAACAAAAGGAAAATGCTGCACACCTCCACTCGTTTATCGCGAT